CCAACGCTGGCCACCTGACGCTAATTCCAAGTCTAAAGTATTTGAAATTCATGTCTCTCACTCCCCCAACAAGGCTACCATTCCGTTGTCCACGCAACTACTGATTGTAGTGACGGGGGAATGGGTAAGAACGCCTAAGTAACGGGCAAGAACGCCCAAGTAATGGGTAAGAACACCTAAGCACGCAAAAAACAAGCAATATTAAATCATATTAAAGTAATGATCAAGAACGCATAGAAAAGCTAAAGCCATGCAAGAGGAACATCAAGTGAATCCACAATAAACAAATGTACCTCACTATGGAAGTTTCATGAGCCAGTGGTGGGTGGATCCTCGTCTATTTGAGCAACGCCACCAAAAGGACAAGAACGCCTATAGGGGGCCAGAACGCCTAAGCACGGGCAAAGCCGCCTTTACCCATAATAGGCATAAATTTCGGCCCATGAAGAGGTTCTGGGTATAGGTCACTTCTCTGATGTTCCAAGAAACTGGAAGCTGCTCGGTGCAGAAACTCATGCCCGCAGGGTGAAGAAACTCATGCCTGGTCACCGGGAGACCTTCGTTTTTCCCACCGAAAAAGAACAGGAGAGATCGCCAGACATGGTCAACCTATTGAGCTGCAGGTTTTGACTCACTGCCATGGAAGCTTGACTGCGGGCATTTTAGCTACCCTGTACTGCGGATGGTGAATGCTAGAGTCTAGAGTTCATCCTGGTTGATCCCACTCAGACATGGGCCGCGGATGGTAGCGGTAATTCAGTGAATTCATCTCATCCATCCCCATCCCCCCTTCATCTCATCTCTGAAGGATGAACTCAATATACAATAGTTGTTCCAGTTCCTTCATGTAGCAAAAGGGAACCTGTCTCTACCAATGCCCCACTTATGAAGGACTGAGCATCAAGTAGCAAGGACATGTGCAGTAGTTTTTTGTGGTCAGTTCCTCCAAAGGATGACTTCTTGACCTATAGATGCAACCAATCTCCCCCGTCAGGCAATGGGGATGATGACATTTGTCGGCTTTAGATGCGGCGGTGTTGTTCTTGACAAATACGGTGCCGACAGCCTCGCCCAGATTGCCCAGCTGCACTGCCGGATCAGGAGAAAGATCATGAGAAGTACTTGAAGCATCGAATCGAGAGATGTGGGAGTTGCGTCTTTTCTCTAGACTCTAGATGTGAGGAAGGTAGGGTCGGTCCCTCAGTCCATGAGTCTTGGTCCAAGACTCGAACCCCTCAAAACTTGAATCAGTGGAGGCCGGCAGTATAGGGTCTAGGGCAACTTTGTATTTCTTCACCACTTCTGGCCGCTCAAAGCCCAAAGCAGAACAGTGTAGTGACGAGAAATGTCACAAGGCAGCTTGAGTGCACTATAGGGTGCTTGGTTGTCAAAAAAGCAGCAATGAAGCATGTGCTCTATTACCACTATTGCACATTATTGCACCAACGAATCGTTTGAGAATCGCTAGGTAACCACTGGAACATGTACAGACAAGGCCGGTCTTGCAGGATTTGCGTATGATTGCACTTGCACAGGGTGTATCAACGCATTGCAAGCATTTGTTTTGTTTGTGTGCTAGTGCTAGCTCTCGCGCAGATCAGCCAATGCCTCCCGGGCAACAAACGGTTCATGCGTGGGTGTTTGAGATACAACAGCGGCAACTTTGTAACGTGCCCAACCATGTTCAAGTATGTGTTACCTTAGGAAGTCATTTCAACACTTGGTGTGATCCTGGGCAGACCACCGGATGCGCAGGTGGAGTTGCAACCAAGCGAGAAGAGGTTGGGCATGGCCGTGTTGGGGACTTTGGGAGGCGTGTGGGGTTTGATGTTTTTGATCGTGTTTGCAAGATGTCTCAGTAGGTTCGATTTTAGGCCACAAACTCGTTCCGGAGCAGAACTTTGCGATTTGGCTAGATAGACTCCAGATAGACTCATTCAAAATGTAGAACAAGTGGTATCACACTACCCCACCCGCGAATCGGTCAGACAGCTATATGATATATACATATATATATATAGACTTAGATACATGTATATTGTCTGAACATACTGCATCGTTCCACCCCAAAAGACGACCCACAATTCGACGACAGACCATTTTTTTTGCCAAGGGAACTCAACTCATCATGAAATTTGGCCGAAGCTGGCGCCGGCGTTTTGTTTTCAATACTTGGCATGCTGGGAGTACCAATGCGCCACTGGTAGACAATTACTATTAACACATTCTCCAGATATCCAATCCATTTGTGGTTCACATGTGTTGCTTTCAAACAATTATAGTTTTTTTTTGTTGAGTTGTGTTGCCTTAATTTGTCCTGATCTTGGTTCTTCCGTGCACCTGCCTAGACAATGTGACGTGACATGACCCTGTTTTAAAACATTAAGGAATGTGTACCCATTCTGTGAGGTACGAAGGGTTTCAGATGCAATTCGATGTGTTGCCTTTCTCTATGGGGCGACCTGGAGGCCAATGACCTCCAGTCCACGCACAAAGACTTTGACAAGTCCTTCAGGACGTTCTTTTTGGTTTGGTTTCGTCGCAAAAAACTCGCACACGCACCAAAAAAACGCACCCGAAAACAATCGAAAGCACCTTGCGGAAGGATGTTGGTGGTGAAGAGAATAAGAACCAATCAATCGTTTGTTGCTGATGTTCGTCCATTTCTGGTAAACTTTTATTTGAGATGTCGCTGCCAGGACTGGAGTCCCGAGAATGGATGCAGTTATCCTGCATGGCGACCATTTTTCCACAAAATATTGTTGATTGTTTTATGTGATCAGTATCTCAACCCATATGCAATGTGTTTTCAGAGAGGCAGAATAAACAACGAACAAATCAACAGCCAGCGCCCCAGTTCCTCATGAACAAGACCAAAAGCAAGAACCAGGAACAGCAAGATCAGACATGAGAACCAACAGAAACATCTGGGATACCTTAGAGTTTCCAAACGGCGGTTGGTTTTTCCCATCGGTCCAGTCGACTGCCCTGTAGACCTAGTACCGGGTTGCATCATGTCCCCAGGTACGCTGCAGACCTGTCGGGGTTTGCGCGGTCTCGCACGGTACCCCCTTTGTGAATGAAACCCAAATGGATTCGTATCCCCTAGGGATCCAAGTACCTTCTCAGAAGGCACTTGGACCCTCCAAACCCACCCCAAACACCGTACCTGAGAAGGTACTTGGATCCCTAGGGATCAATGTGAGGTCCAAATACCAGCACCCGACTGACTCTAGAGGTCGCCACCGATTTTATTCAGTCAGCAAAAGCTTCCAGAGGAGACCTGTTGGAGGGTGCTGGTAGATTTACCCTCCCTGAAACAATCATGGAAGTGGAAGCCCCCCTTCCATGTTTGTTGAAAGGAGGGTAATTAGTGGGAATCACATCACCTGGAAATCGAAAGCAACCTCGTTCGTATCACGTACAGATATAGTGGGAATCGGAATTTCCAGGTTAACCCGTATTTCTACGTGGGGATCAGCACCAGGTTTCCTATCTCTTTGGGGTTTTAGAAGGAAACATGGCACTCGGTCTTTGGAACCACTCGTGACCTACGACTGTCTAGGTAGGACACCTGGATCGACTGAGAGAGGCTTCAGTGGACTCACTGTTGATCTGCGGTTGTTCTGCGAGAACAGGCCGTGGCCACCACGAAAGAGTCCAGGCGAAACGCTCCTGTCCACCCCCCCCCCACTCCGCTGTTGCTGTCGCTGGGATCCCTCGCGTCGCTACGGACCGCGCGACGAGTACGTCCGTATGTACCTGGACCCCGACGAAGTCGGTATAGAAAGTTGGACATGACCCTACAAGGTACTTACTTGTACCCATTTGTTGTAGAGGTACGAATGGGTCGACTCCAGGTGTGTCGGGTGGTGGAACTCGGCCGCCTGAGTGAGTGCTGAGGAGCCCGGAGTGCTGAGGTCATGCCGCGATCGGCGCGTTGCACTCGACTGACGAGGGTGTGTGTGTGTGTGTGTGTGTTTTCATCATGGGTTGTTCAGACCGACATGATTCGTCGAGGTTTGTCTGACCCACATTGGGAGGACAACTCCTGTTCAGAAAGGTTTCCATGAGTAATAGTTCACTGGAACGTACATGGCAGCTTATATTATATGCTGTGGGCTTCACCCAGAAACCTTCTTTACCAGACCATCCATAGTTCCCAGACACTCCATGTATGCCATATATGCCTACATTGACCCCCTGGCACCACCCCTGGCCTGATCGGCATATATGGCAGTCCATGGCAGTCCCATGGAGTGTTTGGGGTTTATTTGACTGAAGGAAGAATCTTCCATCCCAACACACCAGTAGCTAGGGCTGCCTAGACTTTGGAGCCGGCCCCAAAGAGGTTGTCCGGTATCGGTTCGGACAAGCAATTGGAACACAGGGGAACAGGCGGCATGGTCAAAGCTCAACAACCTCAGAATTCGGGCCCTTCTCCAATGGAAAGGGTTTTGACCTTCAGGGGCACACTTGGTTTTTATTTGGACATGCCAGCAGAGGTTGAAGAACCCTAGTTCGACTATCCTATTTATAGACACCCCTGGTTACGGGTCCTATTGACGGTCACTGGCTACCTCTGTTGGTGATGGGTCGACGCATTCGGAATCCATTTCTCGTCCGGGGACCGGGGCCCTCGACCTGTACTCGGATGTGGGAGACGATCGTCGACCTGTGGTCACTGAGGGGCAGATGTCACGTCTTCTTTGGACGAAACATGGTCGTGTCGTGTCTATCAAGCAGGATGAAGGAGGCAGCACGAGGATAAGAACCCTGGAAGTCAGAGTTGGTTGATCACTGGTGAGTATCGTAATATATCGTAATGGTTGTTCCGCAAAGGCTATTAAACAACTGGTGGGCCACGACTTCTATAGAGTTTATTGGACTGCATTCAAGACTCTCATGTTCGCCATTACCAGAGACGGCCTTATCAGCACCCGATAGTATTGTTTCTATTTGTGTTTTGCGGGTGTCCTACCTTTTGGTGATCCCAGTGTACAGAGTGAGTCCAGCACTTAGGGTTTTTGTCGTTTGAATTCTGATTTCTGAACCGTTTCCGTTGGTTGAATCTTTTCTGGGGGTCGTTTTTTTCCAACGTGCTGCGGAAGGTGCTTCCGCGGACAGCTTCCGCGGCTTCCGCAGCTCCCAGGCGCATCAGTAGCCAGGCACGTAGACTCGTCACGCGCTTCGTCGCTGCCGTGCTTCGTTTCCAGTGCCGTGCATGAGGACCTACTAGGTTTGAGGACCTGAAAGAAAGAACGTGGCAATGATTAGCGCGCCGAAAGTGGAAGGGCAGAAGCTTTCTTCCGGGTCATGTGGTTCTTCTAACATGTAGAGGGGCAACAGGTTGTCTAAGACGCAATTGTAAGAATAGAAACACCCTCATTTGGGAGCGTACAACCATGTAACAGCACTGATTATCAAGGGGGCGTTGCTCATCAACCTCATCGGCCTCAAGATGTTGTTCCTTGCTTTCGCCCCCAAATATACTCCAAAATACCTCGACCTTTTGCCCTTTAGGGTTGTTTTGAGTTGTCAAGTCTTTAGACTTTACCGTTCCAAACGCTTTGCCAAGGTGGGGCCAACAGAACCCGATTTGATGACTATGTATACTGCCAGCAGTTCCAGTTTCCTTGGAGATACTTGGAGAGGCTTCCCAAATCAACACATCCACGAGAAAAACAAAGGGTGGTGAGACCCCAAGATTCACTCCGACATGTGGCTGTCACCCTTGTGCTGCGTCCTTCCTTTCGTCCCGTTTTCACCCGTTCCAACGGGGAGACGTCGTGGGTGGTCTCCCGGCCAGGTCTCCTTGGAGAAGAAGGCCAAAGAGATGGACCCTGGGCTGGGAAGAAGGGTCGGACGCGAAGGCCATCGATCTAGGACGAGAAGGATGGATCACATGCCGTGCCCCGCTGGTCTCTGGTCTCTCGAACGGAATCAGGAAAGACCGCACCTGGGGGCACGGCCTGTCACATGCAGAGTATAGACTTGATGGGGCCCTTCGACGAGCCTTGTTTTGAGATGAAGTCGAAACGGGAGAAGCGATCGAAACAGGTCTTCCAACGGTCCATACCTCGGTTGGTTTTAAGAGGCTTGTCATCGCAGGAACAGATGCACCTCCCAATTGGCGCCAGGTATGATCCAAGGGGTGGCAAGGGATCCATGCACATGAGCACAAGAAGAAGGGAATCAATCCTAGGGTCCTACCAGGGTTTCACTCGAAAACGGTGGGTTTCTGTAGATGTTGTTTGGAGCAATTTTTTGGGGGAATCAAGGTGTCCAACTAATTGCGGTGTTCAGACTCATAACTTAACCCCATGACCAGCAGACTTGGATTCCCCCCAAGAAGGCTTGTGACGTTGGGTGCTCTGAGTGCCCAACGATGTATCTCCCACAATCTCCCAGGACCCGAGCCGTAAGTGATTGGACCGAACCGGAGTCGTCTCATCCGGTTCTTGCGACCGAACCTGCAGGTCTTTTGGTGACCCAAAATCCATTGGGACCTCAAGTTCCGGCACGAACTGAAGATAAGAATCATTCAGAATCCATGGGACTGGAACATTTACCTCCCAGCACCCTCACTCCCAGGTAACCTTTTAGGGCCTTTTCCCCAGTTCGGAGACCTGTAGATTCGTCCTCGAACAAGATCTCCTCTGGGTGCTTCGTGTCAGAGATGTGAGTTGTCCCTGAATTGCCCGTGGGACTGGAAGATGAACTGATGCAAAGGTATGTCATGTACATGATGCAATGGTATGTAACTATTCCATCGCTAATTTCGGTTGGAGGCCATCGCTATCAGTTCCATGGATGGTCTGGGATGGTTGAACCTCACCTGACTCGGGCAGAGAGGTCACCGGGACAAGCACCTAGCCCACTACTGGTCTCCAAACAGGGAAAACCCCGGCAGGGAGGCGCAGCGGCCAACTTTTTCTTGTTTATTAGATGTACAGCATCCACCATCCACCTGAGTGGAAACCACCCACCTGATCTAAATTCCAGAGCTTTGTGAGGTGTGTTTCTGAAAATGACCAGAGCAAAGTTCTTGAATCTTTATAACATCTACCATGTGGTTCCTCGATTAGTTGCACCCACCGCTGAGAAACCGCTCTCCGCTCTCCGGCTTCTGAGGAGAAGAGTGTGAAGGCTGCACAGGCGAGTGAGCCGGGCTGGAAAGGGGAGGTCCTAATGGAGGCCACGATCGATGCTTCTTTCCTTGAAACAGGAATGGCTGGGTCTCTCTGATCCATCGCACTTCATGAAAGATCCTGAAAAGACTGTAGATCTGAGGCTAGGGAACTTGCTGAGAGACTTAGAGCACCTGAAATGCAATGAGGTCCCATCATAAAATCGTCGCCGACTCCATCCGAATCCAGGGCTCAACGTGGAAAGCACTTGTGCTCCCGCAGGGCTCACAGGGTATCGACTACGCTGGTACCTAAGATAGAAGGTGTAGTGGTACTCAAGGGTCGTCCCAACAGGGAAATCGGGAGGTGCAGACACGCACACGCTTTCAATAGTGCAGTTCAATCCGGGCAGCATAACTAACATTATCAATAGTGCTATCGGTTCTTTTTTCGGGAAGGCCACAGGGGTTTGTGCTCATCTTGCTTGCACTTCAGTCAGGAATCAATTCCAATGAACAATGCATTCAAACAATGACTGACCAATTCTAAGAAGTTTGACCCAAAATCAGGTGCAGGTTTGGGGGGGAGGCTGATTGGTGCTGAGCATCTGACAAAGACCATTATAGCAAGGCAAGGAAGACAAATTTCAACTGACGCTGGCCGGCACACTTTGGACATGCTATGCCGCCTGACGATCGACAAGGCTTTACATATGTGACAGGTGGCTTGAGGCCAAGTGATTCAGCCGACAAGCACAGCAGGACGGTGAATGCCACCGTGGCTAGCCCTACCATTGGTTTTGAACCTCCCTCGCCAGAATACAGTATCAGGGGAAAATGCCCTTGCGTTGGGCAAGAGTCACAGACTGACGCATCATTTAAGCTATCACTGATGGGCGGATGAAGTTGATGATAATACTAATGCAGATCATCCATGCCGCAAGTATCAATTACCGCCACTTACGTTTCAGTCGGCCTTGGGCTCCAAACGGTGGCATTCTATGCCTACCACTGGCACACACCACTGCCCCAGTCTACGACCCAGTGATGGGTCGTCCGGTCCGGAAACCTGAAACAGGTCCGGCATTCTGGGCTCGTTCCCACGTCTATCGCCTACAGGGCCTACAGTCGAAGGGACAGAACAAGGAGCTCAATCCAGAGCACCATCTAGTGCGCAACACAGGCGTTATCCTCTATGGATCCACCAAAGCCATTAGAATGAGTATGGCAAAATAGATTATGGAGTGTCCATGGTTTCAGCGCCTGAACATGGACCATGGATGTCAAGTTTGAGCAGTAAATCATCACCTTTGATGATTTCCCCTTTCCCAAGTACCTCAATTTGGTTTCCGCATTGTCGAACAGTCCCGGACTCTCCTCCAGATGCGCCGATGATATAGAGATGGTTCACCCACAAGGGGTTACTAACGTCAACAAGACCGAAGGACAACAAACAGTGGAGACACGAGCACTAGACGCACCTGAGCTCACTGACTTGCATCCCAGCAGGGCTGGAGTGTTGACTTCGTGATTTTTCTTCGGCCACTTCGGGAGGAACATGCCAAGAGCTTCTTCAGGATGGGGAAAAAACAGTAGGTCTGGTGACCTGGTGGTGAAAACTGAGAGCTTGGTTGTTCCTTCACAGATTTCTTCCTTTCATCGAGTTCATTAGATCAGGTGCGGTCGACCATGGGCTCCGTTCCGCCTCCAGGCGGCCTGCTTGCGGGGCTCCGACCGCGGCGCCGGGGCTCGGCTCAAGTCCTTACAGGCGGCGGTTGGACGCCGCCCAGACGGCGAGACCGTCTACGGTGAGACCGGAATTCATGCAATGTCATTGGGATCCAAGTGGGGCTCATGTAGTTTGTGTATGTTTGTGTCATTCTGTGAGTTTCGGTGTTTGTTGAATTGATGAATTCCTCTTGACAGGACAACAACTCTTCCACACACCATTTCAGGCGGTTCGAAGGCGTTCTCCACTGCGTCACCGAGTCCGGCGCACGGCAACGCTTTCTGCGCCCGATCGGTCCACGTCAGGTGGAGGCCGCTGCTTTGAGACAGCAAGCGCTACAGGCCCACGTGGTGTTCAGAGGGAGATGGGACCTGTTCAAGGTGGGCCCTATACCCAGGAAGTGTGTGGGTAACCTGCAGGGAGAACCGAACGTTTGGCGGGGTGATTGGTTTCTCCACTGAAACAAGAATAGGTGGATCTTGTTCGAATCACCTTCATTGTTCACCCTATAAGGATTCAAGGATCCTTGGACCCGACCTCGACATGCAGGATGTTTCACAATTCTTTTTCACAGGGGGTGTGTTATGTGGCTCAGCAAAAGATAGCAACAACATGTAACAACAATTGCCATCGTCCGGATTTTGGGGGTAGGGGTCTCCCTCGCGAGTGGCAGAGTTGATCTACCCATATCTTCCGGGCCTGACCAACCGAGCGATTTCTTACACACTGACGTGGGGTCCGGAAGCTTCCAGCTGGCTTAGGGTAGGACAAATTGAACCACTGGGTCTATTGACTCGATACTTGAGTCGATTGGAACTCTCGGCTCTGCGAAAACGCAAGCCGGGAGGAAATGCAGTCCATTGGAAACGCACGAAAGTGCACAGGAAAAACAAGCAGCACATCCGTGGGAAGCGCGTTATTCAATGGACAGTTTTAGGACCATGTGAGAGACCAATTTGCTTCTACTTTGGTTAAGAATCGACCTTATACATCTTATAGAATGAACTTAATTTTCTACATGATGGTATTTTAAACTATTTTTAACAGTCTCTATTGAAATTATAGCAGCATAACAATCTCATTATTTATCATTATTCATGAATAATACAAATATTATGAACACACAGCACTGATTGATTGGTATAAAATCACACACTATATAACATATTATAACCACAAATGAAGAAGCATGTCATGACCACAGAGGGGCAAATTAGACACGGACACAGACGTCACAGACGTCACAGACAGTCATGACTTCTTCCGTCATAGAAACGGTGCTTTCCTCCTTTGGTCCAACACCACCGGTGCTAATGCACTCGAACTGACTCTTCAGGCTGAGGCAGTCGCCCTGGAGGAGCCTGACGTCGCACGGAACGCCGAGGCATGACCAAAACGGGGTCGGAGGTGGGGTTGGCCATGCCTGGACCCCGACTTCAAGTACCTGGGAAATTGGGGACATGACCAAAAACAGGCCTGTGGGAGTCTCTTACATTGAGCCCTCAGTACCAGCACCTTCCAACAGGTGGTTTTTGGACACCCCGAATCACCACTAAGAGGCTATGGACATGTCGACACCTCAATCACGGTGTCGGTCCTGGATCCGATGGTTGCATGATTTAGTGAACCCATCGGACATCTGAGTGTACATGTGACATAGACTCCATGTATGCTTTTTCTGCCCACATTGGGGTGGTGGTTTGGGGGGTCAATGCAGGCATATATGGCAGTCCCATGGGTCGTGTATGTGGCTGTGACATCCCACCACGCTTCGCGGAGCAGAGCGTTTCGGACGTTTCGCAGAGCGTTTCATCAGACGGATGCCTTGCGGAGGGTGACGGATGGGGGATCCATCTCCCCATCCGTCTCAGTCACAAGTGGGCAGGCTGAATCGCCACAGCTGCCGATGTCCAGTGTGCGATGCCTTGCATAATGATCTCTACATTGACGCATGCCAGAGAGGTGTGCTGTGCACACCTTCGAAACCAGGTCACTCACTTCCCACAAAAAGGCGACGATTCCGGTGTCCACCCAAGCTACTGAATAATCTATTGCATGTAATGAAGAGGGGATTGGAAAGAACGCCTAAGTAACGGGAAGAATGCCTGTGCAAAAGGATAATATTCAAACAGTAATGAAACAAAACATTTATAGAAGCATTAATAATTTACAAAACCATGCAAAAGTGAAGCATCAAGTGAATTCCTCACAAAGCAAAAGCACTTCATCCCTATTTCATCCCTATAAGTTCCTGGAACCATGGCACCTCAGACGCACAAGAACGCCGAAACTGCACGGACAGTGAGATGCCGAAACACCCACTGGCAGACATGTTTGCCCCTGCACTACTGGGCCATCCTGCACTAGTCAGGGATCTCCAGCCACATCCAGACAGGATGCTCCAGGTATTCGTAGTCTAGATCCGCTCTAATCCACGGAGCTTCTGCATGTTTCAAGCCGGACAAGTCGGGAAAGGTCTGTGGCACAGGCAACTGGTCACAGCTTGCAGGTACAGATAAGATCATGGCCATCTAACCTTTCTCCCTAACATGTGTACTAAAAGAGACCTGCTCAATCGTCATCCCGGCTGCCATGCTGCTCGAGGCGGTGCCAGAACCGCCCCCTGCACCTGAAGAGGACGCGCCCGAGGATGCAGCACCAGCGCCGGCGCCCGCAGCACCGGTCGAAGCGCTGCCGACGCCGGCAGCGCCGGTGGAAGCGGCCGCGGCGGATGTGGCGCCGGGATCAGCTGTAGAGGCAAGACGGTCGCCCAGGAGCATGGGGAGGGCGAGGGGAGGGCGAGGGGGGTGGGTGATGGGGAGGGCGAGGGGGGAGCGTGCGTAGGTCGGAAAGTGGGTCCATGACCTGTCTTTTTCAGGGGTCAGGAGTCCCAGTTCCGGGCGGCCGAGACCTTGTGGCCTTTGACCTTCCAAAAGCTCGGTCGCTTGTGACGCGACGGATTCCAACTTGGACGATTAAGCCTCACTCACGTGGGTTCAGGAGACTGGCTGGGTGGGTGCCTAAAAACCCACATGAAATGGACGCATTCCCAACCTAGTTCGGTCGCTGCCCTTCGTTCGGCAGCTCTCCCTGCGCAGATGTAAGATGGAACCCTTTTTGGGGCGCCATCTTCTCACCTCCTTTGAGAAGAGCCCCCGCCCTCGAGTCGCAGTCGTGGACATGGGGGTCTGGGGATCTGAATTGTGTATCGTTTTAGAAAGATCTCATTTCGCGTTGGACCACCATGGTTTAGTTTGGACAATGAGTGACATGACGCTAAAGCTAGCAGGTACTTGTGTACCATCTCATCTTGGACCCATTTTCTGAGGTACGTGTCTGGGTTGACTTCAGGTTCCTTTGTTGCCCACAAGCTCGTGCAAACACCGTTGAGACGCGCGCCCACATACAGTCCCGGGTGGAAAGCTTCGCAATTCAGGGAAATCCTTCCCTAGGGATCCAAGTACCTTCTCAGAAGGCACTTGGAGCCTCCACAGCCACCCCAAACACTGTACCTGAGAAGGTACTTGGATCCCTAGGGCCTATAATGTCGAGACGACATTCACAATATATCAAGTCTTCCCTTTTTTTCAGTCTCCGAAGCTGTCGGCTCCGTCTCCAGTGTTTTGGTCCAAGGATTCTTGTGGGGTGATAACCCAGGCCATCCATCAAACTGGAATGGTGACACCCCATTTATGACCCATCCATGGTTGCGTAACTGGTCCAGTCCCATGGATGGTCTGAGACATGCAAAGATGCACACTGGCAAACACTTGAACGGAGGGTCCAAAGGTTGTGAAAGGACATGTCGGATGATGGAATTGTGTTTGTTTGTTTCCAGATAGGCACCAAAAAAGGCATTCCTTATTGATCGTATTGAAAGGTGGTGGTAGTGGTGCTGGTGGTGACTTGCCGGAATGGGAATAGAAACCAATATTAGGAAGATCTGGGAGGCAAATGTGTTTTTGTTCCAACCCCCCAAACAAGTCTAGCGCTTGGAATAAATTCACGAACACCTCATACTGTTCCATCATCCATGATTCTCCATGTGGCTGTGGGTCAAAACTATAGGAGACCTTGGTTGACCTACCCAGGTGTCACTCGTTCGCGGCAAATGGTGGACTGGTCAGGCTCCAGGTTTTGACCTATCCATTTTTACCAACAAGGTATCTTAAGAGCAAACAAATTTCTGGGTGGCTGGTGCAAGCTTGAGCTCAATGTAGGCTCATGATTGACCCCCACATTTGGATGCGCTCACTTGCGGTTCTTGGCACCCACTGGACCGCCCCATTTGGATTGAAAAACCTCTTCAGATGATTTGGGGGTGTCACTAGTCAAGAGTCTACATTGCCCGTACCATCCTGTTTGGGTGTCCTGTGTGGAACCTGGTACATTCTATATCGAACATGTATATTTACATGTCAAGACCCTGGGAGTCAAGGACTATCTTCTCAGTCTAGAAAGGGAAGTTCTGTTTGAAACGGGGTCAATGGAAAGGCATATATTATATGGTAGTCCCATGGAGTGTGTTTCAGGGTCATACATGGAGTGTTTGGGTTCTGTTCTGTTTCCCACTGGATCCCAGGCAAACCACTATACAAGGAACCAGGGATTCGTTCGGTCTATGGGTTTAGTCATTTAGTCTTTGGAACCACTGGGACTCCCAGCGACATCGTGGTTTGCCTGGATGCACTGGGTGTCTTTTCTGCACATGTCGGAACTTCTCCGACCTCCCGGTTTGGCCTCAGGAGTGGCTCCAGCTCCTTGAGGCTCCAGATCGCGCGCGATCGTTCGTTCGTTCGGATGTTCACCACTGGAGAAGACGTGTGTTTTGGGATGAGAGGGAAAGTGGACTCTTGATCCCGCAAACCTCATAAAAACCATATAAAGACCTCCAAACCTAGAAGAGAATGTGACAATACTGTGACAATCCAATTAGAGCGTGGAGTATGTTTTTAATCAACAGTCCACATGAAGCTGCGAACCTGAGCATCTTTCTGTTGCAAGGATGATACGGATGGACATGGATATTGCAGCAGTCGTATTAACCCCTAGGGATCCAAGTACCTTCTCAGAAGGCACTTGGAGCCTCCACAGCCACCCCAAACACCTTCTGAGAAGGTACTTGGATCCGTAGGGAACATCACTTTGAAGAACATGAGTGTTCCCCTTGGCTGTGGACATGATAGGACATACATATCGACCTGTATTCACCAGACGCAGTGCACATTCACCCTGTGGTTCTACTAGTAGCGCCTTAAAACCGGTGATCATGGTTTTTCAGACCCCATGGTTCGGGCACATCCACTTCTAGATTATACTCCGTGGGTCGGCCTAAGCTTTGAAGGTGCAGGGTACCGGCGGCAGAGATGGGTAGAACTCGGAGGACCGGGGATGACGTGTTTCACGGATCGACGGGATCCGCAGGATCCGCTGGATCCTGCATCATGCCATGATGACGGGATTTTTCGGACCCAGAAAAAACTGAGGTGAGCTGGGACCAGAGTCAGTGTAAACACTCAGAAACGAAGAGATTTTTGTTTAACCCTCTGTTACACGGAATGGAAGGGCAAGACTTACAGACTCACAGACTTCGACCAGAAGGGGATGCCATGGAGACATTCGTTAGACGAGAAGCATCGGTGACTCCCGTCAGTCGGGTCGCCGTCGAACCGGTGGTCTGACGAAAACGGCCCATGAAAGCCAAGAGAGGTGACGGTGGCCTTATATAGGGTACCTATTACTGGTACCTATAGATGTTATAATATGTCATAACTATATTGATATAATATATATATATATAATGTTGTGCTATAGTCACTGGTCTATAGGGTCCTTCAAGTTCTGGAATTCATTCAGCGTACCTGTGAGTCTCGGAGTTTGTTCAAGGAAATGCATTGGTTTTGCTTAAGGTGATGGTTTGTTCCCTACCAGGACCCTCCAAACTGCTGTTTGGGGACCTAACAGGTGGTTTCTGGACACCTGTTGTCACCAGGAAACACCTGTTGGAGGGTGCTGGTATGGGTAAACTCTCTTCTGGAATATGTTGTTCAAGGAAATCCAAGTTGGGGCTTCTACCACGGAGAACCATCATGTTTGTCCAAGAACTTTCTTCCCCGACCTGACCTGTCCAGAACGAATCAGGTTGGCGCTGGAATCCTTGGTCCAACAAGAGGAGCATCTCATTTGTTTCCGGGCCAAGTGTCGATTTCCTGCTTCGATTCTCATAGTTTTGTCAGATGTTAGTTTTTCTAAATGCAGAGAGGACACTAGTTTTTTGGGATGGAGCGACGGCGATGGGGTCGCTACGAGGGTATCCAGTTCTTAAACAGGCCTGTCGGAGCGACTACGGGACTGGAACACCTTCTGTTTAAATAGAGGAAAGTTGTCTTCCAAGGGACCATGCCATCCAAGTAACCATGGAACGTGAGTCAGAGTGGCTTTTGAGGGAGAGATTGGTTGATTAATAGAAGGAAGAGCCTTCAAGTGAAGAACCAATACCCAGACGCTCCATGGGACTGGCAAATGTACCTGCATTGATCCCGTTTCAGCCCCAACTGATCATGCCAGTCCCATTAGTCATGTTTGGGATCTACATGATCTACGCTCCGTTCACAGCGCGACCGGTCCCTCAAAACCGGATTGGTGAGAAACCCCAGAACCCCTTGGTTCTTTTTTCAGTGACCGAACTTGATCACCTAGTTGGTTCGGTCACTTTTTTGGCTTCCAAAGGGTCACTTATAGGAACCTTCGTTCGGTCGGTCACGAACTGAAGAAGCTGGCCACCTGGCCTGGCCGAATTGGGTCCAGATGAGTCGGGTCCAAAGCGTGGCCGTCGCATTTGGGATCCGTGCCTCGACCATCGACCTGGACGGACCGGACGACCGGACTCGTCGGCCGGACTCGTCGGCCGGACTCGTCGGCCGGTCGGCGCTTCCGGCTTTGCGGTCCGCGGCGGCAAGGAAAAGAAGCATATATAGAGGGGTGAATTGGACAAATCGATTCTTTGGAAGAGGATCTTTAGGTGATTTTCCGCATTGGGCACCAATGAATCTTTGATCTTTAGACGCCCAGAGATGTGAAAGAAGTTCCTCTTCGGGACAGGATCTTTAAATAGTGGGCTTCCAGGGTGATCAAGTGGTAAGAACATGGCACCTGGTCGAAAGCGCAAGCGCAGCTGCTGAACAAAGAGGGGCTGCAATGCCCTGAATAGTTGAACCAACATGTTTTAGTTATCGATATTGGTTCATCCCCTTTCATGCAGTCTCCAGCAGATTGTGTTGAGATTTGGTGTGTCAAGATGCTTAAAACCGCAGAACACGGTTTCTTACCAGCCACCTCCAACGGCTTACAACGTACAGTTTCTAAAAGTTATAATAAGTTTACCGCATCCTCTGGAAGGGACCTGTACACCTGTTGGAGAGGTTTCTTTCGCGGAAGCACCTGTTGTTCGCGAGGATGACGACGTGCAGCTGGCGGCCAATCTCCAGCGGGTCTTGTCCGAGAGCTCCCCTCCCACGTGCCTGGCACGACCAAATGGTGTTGCGGGTCTTGCTCGGGTGGTTGTCGGATGTTGTTTGAACTGGTTGAATTCCCTGAGTAACTGGGGAAGATGTCGTTTTTGGTTCCTGGCTTCCTGTCTTTTTACCACAAGAGCAAAAAAACAAAAGCAGGTTTCCTGCAAATCCAAAGAATTTGCTTTTCTGTCGAACGCCGTCGTCGGGTATGGGATAGTCAGTCATGGATAGCCTAATAGGCCGGGTCCTTCAACCTTTGTTGGAGGGTCGTCAGGGTCGTCTAGGAATTGTGGAGTATTGACCCTGAAGCGCAGGTTTTTCGCGCATGTTTTTGCCTCCTTTGGTTGGTGAACTGGTGAAATGGTGAAACGCTGGAGGAGTTCCTGCAGTGCTCGCACACCTCACGTCATTTTTCATTCATGTCCTAATCGTGAGCCATTCTCTGTAGTAATCCCCCTAGAATGAGACACTATAACATGTCGATCCTGTTCCCTTTTTAAGTAGTTATACATTTTATAGCACACATTTTTTAATGCTGACTGTTACGAAGTAATAGTGTCTTTTAGGAATGCAGCAACAACGTACGTAAGTATGAGGAAGTGGTTGTGCATCGGTGGCCATTTTGGCTTCAAGTGGCCCCCCCCCCACACACTTTTGAAGTGCCATGGAGATGAATGGCGCCCCGAT